TCGGAGCGGGTCGGGTTGTGGCGAGATGAGATAGTGTTGTGGTTGTGAGGGGAGGGGGGGAAGCGGGCTAGAGTGAGACCGAGATAGGCACGGGAGCAGACTCAGTGCGGGAGAGGGCACATGGTGGACTAAGGATTGGGATCGGGTAGGAGTCGACGTGGGCTGGGGACGGAATCGGCGTCTAATTGGGTCGGGATAGGGGTACAGATGGGATCAGGCGGGATTTAAAGTGAGTCGGGGTCGGGAGTCGAAGAGTGGGAGGGAAACGGATGGGAATCACAGTGGGTGGGGGTCTGATTCAGGAGGGCGTCGAAGTAGGTCGTGGATCGGGTGGGAGTCGTAGTAAGTTGGGATTAGGATCGGATTGGATTGGGTTGGGATCAGGATCTAAGACGAAGTGGGTTGGAGTCGGGATCGGGCGGTGGTTGAAAAGGGATCGGGTGGGATCGGGTGGGAGTAGAGGTAGGTTGGGATCGGAATTGGGGGAGAGACAATGTGAGTTGGGGGTGGAGTCAAAATGGGGATGGGTGGGTCGGGTGGGAAGTGGTGAGAGTCGAGGTAGGTTGGGATTGAAGGATCGGGATCAAGGCGAGTCGGGTTGTGGCGAGATGGGATCGCGTTGTGGTTGTGAGAAGAGGGGGGGAAACGGGCTAGAGTGAGACTGGGGCAGGGAAGGGGGCAAATTCAGTACGGGAGAGGGTGCGTGGGATCGGATAGGAAACGAAGTGGACAGAGGACGGAATCGGAGTCTAAGTGGGTCAGGATTGGGGTAGAGATGGGATCGGGTGGGAGTTGAAGTGATTCGGGGTCGAGCGTTGAAGAGTGTGAGGGAGAGGGGTGGGAATCCGAGTGGGTGGGGAACAGATTAGGGCGGGAGTTAAGGTAGGTCGGGATCAGGTGGGAGTCGTAGTGCGATGGGGTTGGGGTCGGATTGGGATGGGTTGGGGTTGGGATTGGAGACGGGGTAGATTGGAGTCGGGATTGGGCGGTAGTCGAGATGGGATCGGGTGGGAGTTAAGGTGGGTTGGAGTCGGGATCGGGCGGGAGTTGAGGTAGGTTGGAGTCGGGATCGGGTGGGAGTTGAGGTAGGTTGGAGTCGAGATCAGGCGGAAGTTGACGTAGGTTGGCGTTGGGATCGGGTGGGAGTTGAGGTATGCTGGAAACGGGATCGGGCGGTAGTCGGGATGAGATCTGGTGGGAGTTGAGGTGGGTTGGGGTTGGGATCGGGATTGGGGGGGAGACAGTGGATTGGGGGCGAGGTCACGATGAGGATGGGCAGTGGTGAGGGTTGAGGTAGGTTGGGATTGAATGGAAGGGATCAACGGGGGTTGGGTTGAGTCGAGGTGGGATCGTATTGTGGTTGTGAGGGGGGGAGACGGGTGCGTGATAGAGTGAAGAAAAGAAAGGGTCAGGGATCGAGGAGGGAACTGTGTGGAGGCCGGGGTCGGGGTAAGATAAGGACTTTGGAGGTGGTGAAGCGCAATCGGGTCAGAGTGGGAAGTCGGAGTTAGGATGGAGGTGGGGAGGAATGGGAGCCGGAAGGGGACAAGATGTGGAATAGGGAGAGACGAAGGGATTGGGGTGGGTTAGTAGGGCGTTGGGAATGCACAGGGGAATGCGCAGGGGAATGCGCAGGGGAAGTGTTTAGCTCTCACTCGGGTGAGACGCTGATTCTCGACCGGTCTTTCTTGACGATCCGATAGTCGTGATAGCAGGGTGTGGAGGAGGTGCTTCAAGAACTCGGCAATGGTTCGTCTTCGACAGCTGGTGGACTCCTTTTGCCTCATGGAAGTGCTCACCTGCACTTGAGGCTTAGCTGGTTGATGATGTGGACTTCTTCTGACGAGAAATACAGCCTGTTGACAGAAAATCGGACCACCTCGTTAATGTTCTCCTCGAGGGACCTCAGGTGACAGCACGGCTATCATTAGCTCGCGAGCAAGACGCACGCACGTGGCACTATCCTGGATGAGGCGCGCGCACGTGTACGCATACGTAGCCCTGCAGCTATGGCTGGG